CTTATTTGCACTCATTCTGACGACGAATTACACCAAAATGATATTTACATGTGGAAAAAGTTCGAAGTTAAAACAATCGTGATTTCTTTAATTTCTTTTTCTCCTTCAATGTCTCCGGATCAAATGGTTTCATCTATTATTTGCGCACCATCTTTTAAAATTGATAATTACACTCCTACAATTCAATATATAAAGCAACAAATAGATTTAACAAAAAGGAAAATGTACGGTACATTACCAAAAAGCATCAAAGAATTGACTTTTCAAGGGATATATTCCAAAACTGTTTCTGGATCACAATTTGTTCAAGACAAAATAATATACAAGGATGAAAATGGTGATGACCGTACAATGTTTATGTTTTTTTCTTTACTTCAACTTGAAATTCTAAAAAACAACCAGGCCGTTTTGGGAGATGGAACTTTTCAATGTGTACCTTTAATGTTTTCACAATTATACACACTCCATTTTGTTATGATGGATTTGTTTTTCCGTGTTGTTTTGTTTTAATGGAAAATAGAACAGAATGTGCATATACATCACTTTTTACAAATTTAAAAGAAAAACAAGGAGTGATAATAACAAAGTTTATGTCAGATTTTGAGTTGTCTTGTAGAAATGCAATAATAATGGTTTATAAAGAAGTTACCTTGCTTGGCTGTTGGTTCCACTTTAATCAGGCCATTTTTAAAAAGGTCAGTAAGTTGGGACTTTCCAAAATTTACACAACAGAAACAAAAGTCAACATGTTTATAAGATCTCTTTTCGCTTTACCATTTCTTAGGCCACAAGAAATTGTCGAAACTGTTCAAGATCTATCTGAAACCATCGATACAATTGACACTTCAGAAGTAAATAAAGACAAATTGAAATTATTGATGACTTATTTTAACAAAGTGTAAATTTTACGTTATCCCCCACCCGAATGGAACCAAAGTTTTGATTTGTTGATGAAAACGAACAATTGGAGTGAATCATTTCATTCTTCATTTTCTCGAAAATTTTACAGAACACACCCAAGCGCATTTGTTTTAGTTGAAAAACTTAAAGAAGTTGAAAGAAAAGTTGAAGTTGACTTTAATTCATTTATTATAGGAAAACTTAAAAAACAAACCAATAATTACTATAATAAATACAACGAAGAATTATCAGAATTGCTCACCAAAAGAATGAATTTGTTTGGAAATAATAAATTATTATTTTTAGAAAAAGTGGCAACGATTCCTTTAAAAATCATTATTTCGTTAAAAAAGATATGGTTAACCAGAAAGTTGATGTAATCGACGATGTACAAAACGTTCTCAATGAAACCTCAATACGTGATGTCGAAGAAATTGATTCATTAATATCAGATGTAGTTGATGAACCCGATTTCAAAATGGGAATATTCAATCATTCCAACATTGAAATTACAGAATGTTCAAAAGAAAAACAATTTAATAAAATGAAAATATTAACAAAAATGAAAATTAAAAAACGCATTCAAGAAATCCAAAAAATAACACACAATTCTCAAAAACCAAGAAAAAGAATAACTGTTAAATTAAATAGAAAAGAAATCGAAAATATCGAGAGTGAACTTGATAACATTTCAGAAATCCCTTTCATTCAAACAATGGAATCATCTACAGTTTATTTTAATAAAGAATGTCAAACAATGAAAAGTTCTTCGTTGATAAACAGTTCCGTGATTAACGTGGATGTTAGTAAACGTGAGTTATCAAGTAAGAAAAAAAAGAAAAACTACAATAATTGGAAAACTAAGAAAAATGACCCAAAAGAAGAAAAAAGATAATTAATTGCTTACTTGTTCTTTAATTTAAAATGTATAAATTTTATTAAATCGGTTACTGTTTATAACAACAAACAAATTATCATATATTACAAATTATTTTATGTTTGTTTATAATTTGTTTGTATATAACATTATATATATATATATAATTCAACGCTATTTTATAAACACTAAATTGTTAACGCTAAAATATGAACGCTAAATTAGTATGTAAAAACAATCGAATTTTCAACGCTAAATTGTAAACACTGTTTTGTGAACGCTGTTTTTTGATGAATCTATGAAAACAATTCAAGTCAACCCAAACCCACATTATGAACAATTTAATTATGTTTTATGTATTTCTTTTTATTTTGAATTAAACGTATATTGCGATTTAGAATTATGGGGTTATATTGAATGTAAATAATAAACAACTTTGATAAATAACAATTAAACTATTCTTTTGAATGTTAAATTTACAAAAAGATATCAATTATAAACTATAATCGTTTAATAAATATTATTATTGTACCAAAAACAAAACATTACTTGTTTTATAATTTAGTTGTTATATAGTTATTTAATAATTAAAAAAAACTATATTCATTTACTATATTATTGATATTTTAAAACACATTACATTTTATTAACATATATTCTTGTGTATTGTTCGATTTTAAAAGCCAAGAAAACACATATATAATACACCTAATGTACTCATTTATTTAGTTAATATCATGTTTGTAATTGGTTTGTGGTTATTAAATAAAATAAAAGTTGGTCAACTTAGTATGTAACTCAGTGTTTATTCTTTTATTTTATTAAATAATTTTATTAGTGATTTTGGTTTGTATTTAACCATCAATTCCAAAGTCATAAATGTGTTCAAAGAATGATTATTCGAACAATAAAATGAATACTTTATCGTCATAAAAACGTTTTTAACTTTGTTATTGGGTTGTTTTAATTTTTGTGTTTTGGCAAGTTTTGTTTTATGAGAACATGAATAATGATACAAATCATATATATTAATCATGGTACAAATTCGGGTTTTATACGTAAAGTGCTGTTTATATTTTCAATGATAAGTGTTTGTTAATTCTTAAAATTTTACAAAAACACAAGTGATAAAAAATACTATTCATATCAGCTTTGCACGTCTATTGTTTAGTTTAGTCCTTGTACAAACAATGTTCAGGACAGTTTTTTGAATGTGTTAATATTGAAATATTTTCATATAATTTACTTTCGAAAAAACATCAAAAAACGAACTTTGAAAAAAATAACAAGTTCACTCTTCAAAATTTTGATTATGTGTTTTAAATAATTAAGTGCCAAGTTATTAATGCTAAACACTTGTTTATTGATGAGGCACCGTTGTTCATTTAAGATATGAAAGTTGAGTTGAGTAGATATGGTGGTGTCGATAGTGTTCTGTTTTTATGAACACTATCGAAAACTTTGTTCAAAAACACATTTCGAAAAATATTAGACATTGTTATAAACTATATAAACTATACCGAACTATACTTGCCAATAACAATAATTACATAATAACAAAAAAACAATTTATAAAAAATGATAATATTAACAACATATAAAATTTCAATGAATTTTATTTCGTGAAAAAGAACAAAAAATACATCAAGAACGGTTTAAAGCTTCATTTGGAAGAAAAAAGATCAAAAAAGAATCAGTTTATAAAATCATAGTGAAAAATGAAATTTCTTTGAGTAAAATTATTTTTTAAAAAATAAATTCTATTTACAGGAGTGTAACTGAACATATAAAAACACAACTGAATCCTAAACACGGTGTTTTTAAAAATGCCAATTGATTGGTTAAATTTTTTTCTATGAACAAAAGTGGTAACATGGTTGATCAATTTTCTGCTTTATGCCAAAACTTTTTAGGCCTTTTTTCACCTAAGCCTTAATCCTAATACGTGTCGCTGACTGTGGGCGATTTCTATATTTAAAAAATAGCAGTTTTCGGTTCTAGAGTTTTGAATATAAGGATTGTTAAGTTAGATTCTTTTATATATAACAAATGGGCTATATTTTCCACAAACATCCCGATTATTTTAAAAAACATAATGTATTTTTAATAAAGAAACAATAAAAAATAACAGCACTTACAAACGCATCGTTTCAGGTGAAATAAAATGGTATAATAATAACAATAATATAGTATAATAGTCTTTATTTGGATTAGTTAAATAATAGGTATTTTTACTATTTAGATTGAGAAAATTATAGGTTATGACATGGAATAAATATAATATAGAATATGGTTTTTGAATAAATTTGATTAATAATATAATTAATTAAAATTTATAATAAAATTTCAATAGTTAACAATTATATTAATAA